CCGTGACTTCTCCCTTCGCCACCTCCTGGACCTCGATCTTGAGTGTTTCCTCTCCCGGCCGCTCTTCCGACGGTGCCTTCGTCTCGACCACGTTCTCCCTCTCTTTCCCTCCTCTTCTCTGGTTCCGTCGATGGCGAAACCTTCACTCCTTCTTTCTTCCTCACTTCTCTCATTTTCGTGGCTTCCGCGTCACCTGTGGAGAGGCCATCGTGGAATTGATTCAACTCCTTCATGCGTCCTTCCAGGTACTCCGCTGTCGCCATCTTCACGAAGTGGTCCATCAATAATTTGGCATATTCTCTGCAAAGCTCCCAGGATATTCGCCTGACTCTTGCGAGGCTCTCTTTCCGATGATCGCTCTGCGCTTTGCGTTGCCACAGATGCACTCCCTGTTGAGCTGCTCAATGCCAAACAACGTACCCGCAAATTGCTGTGGCTTCCAATGTCGGTCCCCTCATGCTCGATCAGCTTGATAGGCGCAGGTATTGAACTGAGTGATCTTCACACTACCTGGACATCGCAAATACGCCACTACCTCAGTCATACCCCAAGCCGACACATGGTTCTCCACCTCGGATGGTGGAGGGTTCTCCAAACTCGTGGGTTTGATCACGATGGATGAAGTCGCTGATCTTGCTACCTCCTCGGCCATTTGAGCTGATCTGGCCATCATCACCGTGCCTCTGTCGCACTCCGTTTGCTGTCTCTCGGAGTTTGATTTGCACCCGTACGGTTCAGCTCGAGTTCTTACAGGTGGAGGTAGTCCTTCAGCTTCACGAAATCGAAGGTGGGAAAATGTAGCACAAGGGAATCCACTATGATAGCCGACGATCAATCCTTCTTTAGCCCAACCGAGGTGCGTGTTGAAGGGTTCGTCCGCACAAAGGTCTTGGCCCCAGTCCTTCTCCACGGAGATCACTTCCACGACCAGCCCACGCTTCTTGGCCATCCTGTGGATCTCGGACCCCAGTGGATTTTTCGGGCATGCGAAGTGGTGCACGAACCTGAACTTGCGAGCTTTGATGTACGCCTTGATGGACTCGTCCAGCTTCTTCTGTGCGCATTCGTCGCCTCCATCACCTTCGCCTCCGTCCTTCTTTGGATCATCTTGTACGTCGTCCCCTTCTTTCTCACCTTCATTACCTCGTCCTTCATCTGCCTGTCTCACTTCTTCGACGCGCACTTGTGAGCTGGATGACCCGGTGAACCGCACGATGAACAGCGGTGTGCCCTCTTCATCGTATTCTGACATTCCCATTGTTCCAACTGAAACAAATCGCTTCCCCTTGTTGTCCTCCTTTTCCTTTCTTTCCGCGTCCTTTCCCTCCTTGACGGCGATCTCCACCTCCATCGTTTCGGGCTTCTCGAAGGCGCTGTAGTTCTTCTCGCCCCTGCCATTTCCTCTTCTTTGCTTCCCTCCTCTCTTTGTTGGCATTCCTTCGAGTTGAAGATGCCACTGGCGGGGAAGTGGTTCCGAATGCGCCGGACTCCATGCTTGGCAGTAAGCTTTTGCACCACCTCGTAGTGCGATTGCTTCCTGCGGTGTCAAAGCCCTGCCTCTCGCTCCACTCGCCATCCACGTCAATGCAGGGCCATGTATCTGGTCCTGCCAGAACTTGAGTTCGCTTGGGATCATCTTGAAAACTGCTTCCCAAGGTTTCTTCTCGTCGAAGCCCGGAACCTTCTTGCCCTCCATCTTGTCCATGTTGATCCTCAGTCTGAGTCTGGACAGCAGTTCGCTCCTTGCCATCTCGTCCGTCGCATAGACCAGGTGCCACGCGTCGGGGTACAACCTCGTCAACTTCTCCACGTACAGCTCGTAGGCATGCAAGGGTGGCAAAGTGCATTCTTCCAACATCAACATCGCCGTGACGAACACCCGGTAGCAGGCCCTCCATTGAGTGAAATTCGCAGGACCTGGCAGTTCCTTCAAAACGTAGCCGTCCGCAGTCGGGATCCATGTCCGATACTTCGAAGCTCGTAGTGCTTTCCTTCCGAAGGGCACGAACACACCGAAGTCGCAGTAGGGCGGTTTGCCCAACAGGATCTTCTTCCGAAGTGCCGACAGCTGCTCGATCGTAGGTTCTTCTTCTTCTTCCGGCAATGACCCTGTCATGGCTAGTAATCCCATCTTGTCCTCCTCGTTCAGTACCTCGAATTCCCCATCGTCCCCTTGGTCCAACACCTGCGTGAACTTCAAAGTCCTTTCCTTCGACTCCTTGGGCTTGTCGGTGGATGAAGTCCTTTCCTTCGGCAAGGGACTCCTCGTCGTCTTTGGGGTTGGAGTCCAAGGGTCCTCTTCTATCAAATCGTCCCAACGGCCGCCCCCCTTCGCGAACATCAGCCTTCTCGCCAGCTTCCATACGAGTCCCACTTGGGCCTCTTGCACTGCCGTCAGGGCCACGTCGTCCGGGAGGGTGGCTTGGTTCAAGGAGGCTGCAACCACGGACCCTGGCAAAGCCGCTAGGAGCCTGATGTCGTCCCCAGGTGACCCCGCTTCCCGAACAAAGGCCGTCCAAAGCTCCGCGGGAACCTGGAAGTGGCCCAGGAGCTCCGTCACCGTCGACATCTGAAGGGCCACATCCGATCCGGGAACATGGCCTACAAGAAAGGCCACCCAAAGGCGGCCCGCGAGAAACATCCTTCCAAAAGAAATGGAAGATGGCTTGAGCCAAAATGGATGGCCCAACCCACCTTTCCCCCACCCATGGTGCAACGCTGTTTGTCCAGCAGAAAATGTTCCATTTTCTTTCACAAGAAAGAAAGAAAGAAAGACAGAGAGAGAGAGAGAGAGACAGAGAGAGAGAGAGAGAGACAGAGAGAGACAGAGAGAGAGAGAGAGAAAGACAGAAAGAAAGAAAGAAAGAAAGACAGAAAGAAAGAAAGACAAAAGGAAAGAAAGAAAGAAAGAAAGAAGAAAGACAAACAGACAGAAAGCAATAAAGAAAAACAAACATACAGAAAGAAAGAAACAAAGACAAACACACAGACAGAAAGAAAGAAAGAAATACAAAAAAGAAAGAATCAAAGAAAGTAACAAAGGAAGGAAGGAAGAAAGACAGAAAGAATGAATGAAAGAAAGAAAGGAAGGAAACCAAAAAAACAGAAAGACAGAACGAAATACAAAAAGAAAGGAAGAAAGGAATGAAGGAAGGGAGACAGAGAGAGAGAGAGAGAAAAGAAAGAGAGAGAGAGAGAGAAAAACATAAAGGCAGAGAAAGAGAGAGACAAGAAAGGAGAGAGAAGAGAAGAGAAGAGAAAAGAAACGGAACGAAACGAAAAGAAACGAAAAGACAAGACCAGGCAAGAAAAGACAAGACAAGACAAGACAAGAAAAGAGAGAAAAGAAAGAAAGACAGATATAGAGAGACAGAGAGGAATGTGCAAATGTGAAGGTGTGCGGATGTAAGTTGTGATGATATGTAGTTGACCTGTGTTTTTAAGAATGCTTCGGGAAAACTCTAGCATTAACATATCCTTAGCTTTTTTTCAGAGAAAGAATAGTGCATTGGAAACGGGGTTTATGAGGGGTACTCTTTACAGATTGATCTTGCGTAATTATTGAAAGCTATCTGTCCACCACAAGATTTTGGATTTAGCAAATGCCTGCAATGAAATCAAAGGGCATGTATGAATGAGAAAGAAGCAAAAGCACTGGGAAACTCCAAGCTAGGACATCAAAAGGGGATGCCTTGAGAAGGAAGCAAAATACCTTCAGCACTGCTTACGGTGTCATATTTGTTGAGCTGTGCGAGCTGGTGCTCTTGTACCGGCAATCTAGTTCTTGCATGGGAACACCCAGTCCAGCCTTGAGGTTCTCTAGTTGGGGCACCAGATGGCAAGGCCACTCCCGGAGGTGCCACACCCGGTGGCGCAACTCCAGGCGGAGCCGCAGGAAGGGCCACTCCCGGCGGAGCTCCGGGCGGAGCACCCGGAGGCAAAGCCATACCGGAAGGAGCCGGCCGAGGCGGCGGGACCCCTTCTGGGGAAGGAGCCTTTGGAAAGCGTGCAACCAGCGTCTGTGGTACTCAGATGTTGAAGCTGTTGATTCTTCGGTGTCAAAAGATTGGTCTAAGCCTCCAGCCGGAGCTAGGTTTAGACTTGGGCTTGGGAACAAGCCACTGCCCAAAGGCCTGCACGAGCTTGTCGGGTCGAGCGGATCAAACCCTCCAAAATTCAGACGACACTATTGCTCTTTCAAAATTTCTGAGAATGAGGCGGGGAAGATCCATTGGCAAGACCAGGTGTAGTCTGTGCCTGGACAAGGTTGGCTCTTAGCTTCCCTCATGACACATGTATGGATTTGCCACGCTTGCTTATCTTATAATATACAAGGCCCCTGCATCGCTAGTAGCCGCTGAAGGAAGGCCTTGCGGCTCTTCAAATCACCCTCAACAGTCTGTAATCAGCTATGGAAAGCTCTAGACTCTAGCAAGTCACGCGGCAACGTTGACACGGCCTGGTCCTGTTTGTGGAGTTCCCAAATCTAGATTTGGAGCTTGCCTCAAATTTCTGTGGCAGGGAGGTGTGCTTCCACAATGTCAACAGCTACACAATGATCGCAGGCTCAGAGCGTGGCGGAAAAAACATGGGGAAAAATGGGCTGAGTGGACGCAGTGCCAACTTTGCTCAACCGTTTGTCGTCTCTCATGCATAAGGGGGGTTGAGGTGTTCACAATCAACAAAAGTCAAGAGGATTTGAAAGACGTGGCCATGTGAACTCAGCTGTTTCATCACGGAACGATGTACAGTGATTTGGCTATGTTTCTATGAGGATCAGGAAAGAAGAATGAGAGGAGACTCTGCATTGGGTCAACCTTCACAATCTCTACCTGCCTTTCGGCCAAAAGCTTGGAATTTGCATGGCATCCACCCTATATAAGGTATACGAGTCAAGTCAAGCATACACACAAGCGCAGGGAACCTGGCTCACTCGAGTGGCGCAGAATGCCGCATGCCAAACACACCACTTGAGAGCGAGCATTCTGCGCCTTGGCAGCCTTGCCTTCAAATCTTTTTGCTGGGCCTTCTGGACCCCTTTAAAACCATTGCTAGGGCCTAGGCGAGCATTATCTGTGGCATCTGTGGCTACTTTGAGTCCAGGCCATGGCTTCTCTTGAAGCATGAAAGGCAGGCACTTGAACGCGTGAAATTACTTGGGGCGCATTGCAAGAAAGGCAATGCTTGTGAAACTGGCCAGGGAATGGAAGATTGGGAGTACCGCCAAGACTATGATGGCCAACCACCTTTGGGAAAGCCATCACTGCTTCCTCCTCTTCAGATCTTCATCTCTCCTGGTATCTCCTCTTCAAAGCCTTCACTGGCAAATTTGCGGCAAGCCTGTGGACAGTTGAGTGCTCAAGTTCTTCAAAGCCCATTTGATGATGCAAATCCTCTCCAAAGAGTTCTATATAAGAAGCATGCCACATTTGAAGGAGAGGACACGAGGCAATATCCTACTGCGGACATGTGTCTCCTGTGAACTGTCGAGTACACAAACTACAAGAACCTACAAGAACACAAACACGTTGACCAGTTGAAAGGAAACGCTGTTAATGAACGGCCTCTTCAATCGCGTCCATGCGCTCTTCCAGCTGCTCATCACTCCTTTTGAGTGATAGAATTGTGCTTAGCATCAAAATAAGTAAAGCGCACTGTCTTAAGCGCGATGCTCTTTGCTAGCTTTAGGCATGTCAGGGCTGTGTTCCTGGGAAGCAAACACTCTTTAAGGACAGTTCAGCAGAAGCATTGGACTTAAAAATATATGATCAAGAAGGATAGGCTGCGCCTGTGATACACAAACTGACGGTGCGGTGGCAGCAATGACTGCCTGGGCATTGGGCATTTATGGATTCTAGCCCTGATGGCCCAATGGATCAGTGCTTTCCCTTCCCAAGCAAAATGCAAGTTTGAGTATCAGGATCCGGCTTGACGAAAGTCTGTGTAAGTCAGAAAGTTTGATGCTCCCATTGATAGTACCTCCATCAAGAGATGTGACTAGACTGGGGCTAGAAGCTGTTCTTACAGACCACAAATATGCACTGATGTGATTGGCAGCCGTCCAAAGGTGACATATATCACGGTTTAAAACTATATAAGTTTCCCTAAAAATCTAGGAACCTAAATGAATAGTGCGAGCGCTTCTCTCAAGGAAGATCCCCCCCCGCCGCCTTTCGGGCGGCGGGGGGGTAGCTTCCTTGAAGAAGCGTGAGCTATCCTGTGTCCTAGGTAGGAGCGTGCTTGTAGGTAGTAGCTTACCTAAACCTCACCTACCTATCGGCCTACCCTCCACTTCAAAAAAAATAAAGCAACTTCTTCTCTTGCTTTTCGGAGATGTCTCACTCTTGGGCCTGGGGTCGTGTCCTCCATTTGCTGATGCATGCCTGTGAGATCTCTCGAATCCTATAGGCACCTGCACAGCGCTGGAATATGTGTTTCAAAGTATGTTCTGCCAAACACAGTGCATGTTTTGCATTTATATAAAATACCAGCGAGTTGTTACCTAATTCCGGTTTTATTTTGAATCGCCCCTACCTGGAAGATGAACGCTCAGGTCATCTGCACCAAGAAAACCATCACAGTCCACATCCAAGTAGAGGAAAGCCAAATAGAGCACATCACTCCAAGACGCCTCTGTTTAAAGGCTATATAGACAAATAAGGAGCTCTAAGAGCAAACAACACAACGGCTGAGGTGCTTTTGCAGGTGGCCTGCGAAGTTAAGACAATTGACGATGAAGCCACGCAGACCTTGCAACGAAGGCAAAGCGGCAAAACACGAAGGCAACGCTTTGCTGCTCAGTGCTGAGGCTGGCACTAATTGAGCGGCCAGCCTCTCAACGTATCCGGTGCACGTGCCTCCGTCATGTCGGACAAAGTCCTGTGATTGAGCAGCTGTTGCCAGAGGTGGTGGTTCTGGTAATTCAGGGGGAAGAAGTAAAAAGGAAGTTGGCGTGTCAGAATTTCAGGTTATTATCAAACTCATTTGGAACCTGAGGATGAAAAGTTGCGTGCTTCAGTCTTTACAATGCTTCTGAGCAAATTTGGAGCCGGGGTATTGTGTCATTGTCGAGCCTCCACAAGCCTGAAGAATGGTTCCAAGGATTTCATATTTGTGTGATCAAGAGTTGTCCATCACCACAGGTCTGGCTATACGAATGTACAGAACCAGCGCAACTCTTGAACAGCCGCAGGAGATGAGGCAAAACGGCAAAACAGCGATGAAAAAGCAATGAAGGCCGCAGTTGACCGATAGTCCTACCTAAAATATAAAGATGTGATATGGCAAAGCCGAATAAACTTGATCATGAAAAATGGCATCAGAAAAACCCTAGCCTGCAATAGCAATAAGATGACTTCACATCAAAGTGAAATAGGTTGTAAGGCCTACTGACCTTACTACTAGGAGCAAGGACACTACTAATAGCGAAGGGCATCGCTATTGGGTGCAAGAAGCTACTAGTAGCTCCTGGCCTTACTATAGCAATACTAGCAGCAAGGACGCTACTAGTAGCAAGGGCATCTCTATTAGGAGCAAGAAGCTACTAGTAGCTCTTGACCTTACTACTAGGAGCAAGGACGCTATTAGTAGCGAAGGGCATCGCTATTAGGAGCAAGAACTACTAGTAGGTCCTGGCCTTACTACTAGCAGCAAGGACGCTACTGGTAGCAAAAGGCATCGCTATTAGGAGCAAGAAGCTACTACTACTAGGAGCAAGGACGCTACTAGTAAGGGCTACTGACCATTCCAGACGAGCCGGGTATGTTAGACATCCAAACGTGCCGGTTCCTCTGTGAGGTAAGCGCTCTTCGGGGCTTCGGCACCAAGCTCTTCGGGCAAAGGATGCCCAGGACAGGTACGACGATGTTTGCGGGGAGAGGCCAGTTTCCGTAGCTTCTTGCTCCTAGTAGTAAGGCCAGGAGCCCCTAGTTGCTCCTAGTAGCGATGCCAGGAGCCCCTAGTAGCGTCTTTGCTCCTAGTAGCGATGCCCTTTGCTCCTAGTAGCTTATTTGCTCCTAGAGAGGCCAGTTTCCGCAGTTGTTACTTTTTTGGGGGGGGGTGGTAGGCCGTAGAGGGAGGAACCCCCTTCCATCCTTGACACACAACTCCCTGGTCACACTCCTTCACTGAGCTCAACTCCACCAGTTCAGGTTCAGTGAATGCACGTGCAATCGCAAGCCAACCTCTCATCATCTCAAATGCGTTCAAACATGTTGGAACGAACCACAAGGCATTCAGCACATACAAAAAGTACTAGTCCATATGATATCTCTGTACTGCGTGCCCCTCAAGACAAGTCGGCAGGACACAACCGCTGAAAGCTGTCTAAGGCATTCCACCTGAGGTCGCAAGCGTTTGCTCAGACGGTGGGACAAAAGACGTGGTGTCCGTGACATGCGCGGTGAAGAATCGGCCGAAACCCGTTCAAGCATCAAAGCAACAAGGTGTTTCTTGGTTCCATTCTGAAACTGTTCTACTCTGTCCTTGTCCTTTTCCTTTCTGTTTTCTTTCCTTGTCTTGTCCTTTTGCCAGTCCTGAGGAGTGGGTCTTCAATGCCAAGTGAACAAAACCTGGTCGAGGGACACGCCGGACACAACTCACATGACTAAATGAGGAAAGCCTGAAAAGTAGGGCATCGCTACTAGTAGTCTACTAGTAGCGATGCACTTGTTACTTGTAGCTTCTTGTCACTAGTAGTAATGCACTCGTTACTGTAGTAATGCACTTGTTAGTAGTAGTAATCCACTTGTTACTAGCGATGCACTTGTTAGTGTCTGCAAACTGGCCTGAATCCGCCACACTCCGGGAACTGCGCTGAACTTGCAGCAATGAAGGCGTGCTGGAGGGCATCAGACGGACCCAGTCTCTTTGCCTGAGAGTTGTCATCTCTTGTGCAAATGGAACTCCACAAAATTGCAGGATCAGCAAGGTTGGGGATGCTACAGGGTCTGGTTTGATCAAGGCTAGAATGAAGTCTTTCGCAAACTGGGACAGCTCGGTGTTCCAAGCCTGCAGGGCATTTGTCCATCAATAGTGTTTGATCACAGGAGGCACGGCAGAAGCAGACTTTCTTGTGCCTTCGTTGTCATGTTTAGTTGTCCATGGGCAGCAAGCCGCATCACCTACCCAAGGTTCGCACAGCCACTGTCGCTGCCAAGGTCAAATGGATTACAGTGGATGCCTCCTCTTCCCTTTTGGAAGTGTCGGCGACACCCAAAGCCAAGTGGAAAGGGCTGTGACCTCAGCTGATACAAAATGTCTTCTTACCAAGCCATGCATTTGCACAAGCTACAACAAAACAAGTGCAGAGGGGATGAGGGACCATAGCACGTTTGTCTGTTGTAAGCCATGGACCCGTGAGCAACAGGTAGGTGATGATTCCCACACTGTCACGGTTCAAACCATCAAGGGCCATTCACTGAGGGGAGGCTTCTGGCAACATCCCACCTCCACATGTCACTTTTGCCACCTTGGAGCTCATCAATGACGATCTCTGCTCCCCTCACAGGCGGATTCCTAAGCTTGAACATCGAAGTAATTCAGTCAGGTGCTCGTTATGTCGAGTCTGAAGTGTTGACGTGGAGCAACTCAGAAGTCATGTCAAAAGCCCCGAGCAATTCCGGTGGAGCATACCAAAGCCTGGCAGCTTGCAAAGCTCAAAGAAACTCGATGGAAACATAAGAAGAATCGGAAAACTAAACAAGTGTCCAAAGAGGCCATTGTTTGGCTCTGTTCAACTGTGACAGGACGACGATCCAACACCTTCCGGAGGAATGCTGGGTGGAGGTCCACCATTCTCCACCTCGGCATCAGCTCGGCTTCAGGGCTGCAGGCTGCACTGGCATTCTTCCGCAGGACGAGTGAAGAAAGTTTCTAGAGGTATTCGTGAGTTAGAAAGCCCTCATTTGCCTGACATCTGTGGGACGTTCCAATGGTCACCCTTTCAGGCCCTTTCAGATAAGTGCGCAAAAACGCACATAGGTGTTTTGGTTTGGAGAGTTCTAGGGGACTTTATTGTAGTGTCTACGGAATGCAAGCGGTGTTGAAAATCGTAAAATCACAGAGGTGCTGCATGCATGATTGCATGCATGATTCATGTTACCTTCCTTTAACTGGGCCTTGGATAGATCTCGAGATACTTAGTCAAGCGAAATACCCTCTGGTGTCTTTTTCTGGACTGAGTCTTGCATGCTTGTGGCTTTCTGTCTCGGCCGGTTGGACATCAAAAGTCCAAAGACTTGTCAAAGGCACATGCCCACAGAACACCTCACAAACAGGACCCCTCGCAATCGCTGCCCAACCGAAATCTGCGAGCTTGATCAATGGCACCTGCAGATGAGCAAATATCAAACCATCAGTGAAGAACACTGAATCTATAAAAACCTATTCAATTCGATGATCGATGTTTGTTTGTCTATAAGTGAATTCAACGTTTGCAGAAGGAGGAAAACATGTGGTTTGATCTCATGGTCTTCAATGCCTGCTCATTCTGTGTGGCATCCGAAACACCATACAGCAGCAGATTCTCGGGTTTGACCTGAGGCATTGCATATGCCTGCCTTTGTCAAAAAGAAGGGGATGCTTCATCATAGAAGGAAAACTGCTGGAAGGCTTTGATGCAAGTGGCTTCACAACTAAAGATTCGCACATTTGTGAGATGTTTAGCTTCAGACATCACGGTGCTCAATGCCACACGCCACCCTGATGAGGACAGGTTGAATCTTAAGAATGTAAAGCTGGACTTTGACACTTTTGCCATCTGCTGGTTCAGTCCAAAGTTGGTGTTTTGCCCGGGAATCAGACAAATGCTGCAGAGCCAGCCTGTCTCAAGAAATATCACTAGTGTTTAGGAACAAGAGCAGTAGTTGGCCGACACTACTTGGCGCATGATCTGCGACACGAATGCTTCCAGCATGCAGCACCTGCAAGCTCACCAATGTTTGGCCCAAATGGCATGCAGAACTCACCAAGAAGGTCAAGAAATGAAAATTTGTGGCACCCATTGCTGGAGGCATACAACTCGTAGATATCTCCTCCACTGCCTCAGCTTGGAACTTGCAACAAAGCCGTGCCACATGAGTTGCTACGGACTTGAGTTTCGGGCAATACTCGAGCACCATTACATCTTCTTGAGAACCACCCTGGATGTGTTTCAAAAACAGTACCAAAATAAACTGTATATATACAGTATCACATAAAACCAGCCTCAAAGCTCTCTAGTAAACGAACAATGTGAGGATGCACCCCGGCAGCAACGAGGGCCTGGCTGCAAAATCACAAGTCTGCCTTTCTTGAAAGCAATAAAGCTATGACGCCACTCTGCAGCCTTGAGTTCATTCTTGAACATCACTGTCCCTCGCTGATTGAAGCGTTTGAGCCTGTCATGATTCCACCGCGCTTCCAGGAACACACGGCGAGGACAAAGCTAGATGGGAAGAAAGGCATAGGGATCAAGTCAGAATCTTCAGTTTGGGCATATGCTGCAAAGGGATCAATTCAGCCAGAGCTACGCAACTTTGCGGCCACCATTCCTCACCGAGGGGCTTCGATCACGTCCAAGACCTGGCTGACAAAGTCTGCAAAGGAGATAGCCAATATCTTCAAGCAACAAGTCTACTCAGCCTAGTGCATACATTTGATGCAAAAGCTATTGCTAAATTGGCTAAATTCGTGTGAGAACTTCAGCAAGCCCTTGGCCTGCATGCTGATGGTGCCATGGCCTGCAATTGGAGCATATCTTATCGACTTACATTCAACCCTGAGAGAGATACATCAGTCAAGCAAAGAAATCGGAATAGGCAGCCAGGGATTATCAAGCATCAAGTTCAAAACTACATTCGGGCAGCTCGATCACAATGCCCCAGCTCCAATTTAGACGACCGAAGCTGACCAGAAAAGGACAACACGAGCAAAAACAAACGGTGTCGACAGCTCTCGCACTGCTCTGGCTGTCCCCCTCGCAAGTGTGGAGCACAGCAAGAGAAAAAGAAGTTGCGTCAAAGAAGTGGCAGCTTTGGAAGGAAGGCTAACAAACTATCAGCGAAACTAACCCTGGAACTTATTGCCCAGCAGCAGGCATGCATTCTGAAGGCCCTGTCCCAACTTAGGCACTTCTCAACAGGAACTTGCTTTGTAGCGCAGCTGTCAACAACCTGCCTGCGGCCATCATTTTGAGATCGTGCCAAAGAGAAGGCCTCTGCGAAGCTGCATGCACAGCTACTTCCCCTTTGCTTGACAATGGGTGGCCTGCCTCAAAAACTGTAGCAGTCTGCCCGCAACCCAGCTCGCAGCCAAGAGTGTAGCGAGTTCGCCAGTTCGCAATTGGTCTTCCTCTTGCGCTGCACCAGTCGAGCTCTTTCCGCCCAGTGAGGAAGCCGGTGAAACACATTATTAGTAGGGAACACAGGAGCCTGGTGAGCCATGCAAGAGCGCAAAGTTGTCAGGCGAGGGTAGCACCTCAGCACTCATCATGGTTGGTCATGTGTAATACATGTCCATGATCATCACACCACGTACTCACGTCTTGTCACTCTATGCCAATGCTTTGTATCCCATCACCCTGACCTGGGAATCGAAAGGTTCGCTTCCAATTGGAGCCTGTCGCCAATCAGACGGAACGCACAGCTCGCAACCGTGAGTGCGCGCCTCATCCTGCGTCAGGACCTTCGTTGCTATCTTCAAAAAACGTCGATAGTACCGTATATGTCTACTAATGTTGTTCTACGATTCTTCCCTTCAGCCCCTTTGATTGTTCGTTTCCTGTCGTTTTTGTCTTTTGTCTGTTTCTATTTCATTCGTGCGTTTCTTGCGATGCTGATGCGTTGCCAATTGAATGAGCCTCGGACATTGATACTCCATGAACTGCATGTTTGGCCAGAGGAACAGTCCTTGCACAAGCAAAACACTCTGGAACCAGTTTGTTGCACATGCATTTCTCGCAACTATTGCTAAGCCGTCCGATGGGGTCATCAAACTGTTCCACTCTTCTTTGTGAAACGTGCGATGCCACAAGATGCTTCATCAGGTCCAATTTCTCCTGCCAACAAGTCTTGATCCTCGGACGGATAGTCAGCTCCTGCGCCCAATGCTTTGACAAAACTAGTCAACTTCTGACACTGCAAAAACAAGGACAAAACAAACGACGCAAAATGAGGTGATTGTTTTTCTTCGTTCTTCTCGCGTGCACTTGCGGAACAAGGTCTGTCGTCACAAGAAAAGCAATGTCCTTGCTAATATGAGTAGCAAAGGTTAAAAGCGTGCAGGACCTATCAGTTCTCCTGAGAAGCCTTCTCAGTTGAGGGAATTGTGGCCAGAAGAAAAGGCTTTATTTATATAGCTGACGCAGTGACTTCGTACTTTGTGGCATTCATGGTTGGTCCAGCAGCCTCTAGTGATGTAAAGAATCGTCAACATTCACCAAGGAACTTGTCAAGATCTCAAGGGTCACGACTTTCGCACTTTACATGTCACGCAAACCACCTTGCAAAAAGCACGGATCATAAAAATGCCAGCTTCAGTCAAGAAACCTCGAAAAGTGCATTATTCAACGTTTTGGAGAGGAACACATCCAGAATGACGCCGGAAAACAAAAGTCAACAACTACCCTTCAACACCTCTACGAATATGTCAAATTATAACTCTGCCTTCTTCTTTCCCCTGCTTCAAAGTCGCACAAGCCTTGATGCTCAAGGCAAACAGCTGCAGCTAACGGTAAGGAGAGCACGTCAACTGCTAACAGCCAGCCAACACCCCTTGAGCGCTCGATGCAATCAAGCCACACCACAAGTTTAGCCCATCCCTCGGGAAAAGGCTTTGAGAGCACAACCATCAACGCGAATCTAACAATACCACGTGTTGCCTTGCATGCTCAGGGCAGCCACTTCTTGACTGTAATATTCCAAAGTCGGCAGCCGGCTCCAAAGAAGCCACCACCACCACTACGCTCCAAGCTGAGGCCAAGAAGCTACTAGTTACAAAGGGCATCGCTACCAGGAGCAAGGACGCTACTAGGGGCTCCTGGCCTTACTACTAGGAACAAGAAGTTGGAAGTCTGAAGCATGCCAAAGGGGGGTGGAGGGGGAGGATGGGGTGTCCTCCAACGTATTCCCAGCCTCCAACGGTGGCCCCAAGTTACATGTTCCATATCAGTTGGTTTCTTTACCTTTGCTGTGGTGTTTCCACAGTGACCCCGTAAAAAACAGCTGGTGGAAGGCTCAAGGGGAAGGCTTCTGCACCATGTGTCCACAAGCCCCTGATAAACACAAAGCCATTGATAGGAGATTGCACCAGGAAAGACCAGCCTGCAGGTACCACCCTGCAAGGCCGGCACGCAACCAAAATCTGGTAAAGCTTGGCCAGCATCTTGTTGCAATCTCGTGCACTATCGCATACACAGTAGCGTGCAGTCACTGGCCAGAAGCCTGTCTCTTCTTGCGCTGCTTGCGGTCAACCGTCAGAACGCACTCGACTTGAAGAACCTCTCATGGCCAGAGTAATCGCATCCAGCAGATTCTCTGACTGCATGCGAGCGCCACACACAAGCCCCCACACAAGCGCCGCAGGTGAAGGCACCAATGAGGAGCAAAGTCACCAAAGGCCAGGTAGGAGGCGAGAGGCCAGTAAAAGCAAATTTCCCGCGCATCAAGCCCCATTGCATTGAGGTTGAGCCACTATTTCATTGAGCGGCTCAACATACAGGACAAAGGGGTTCCACATCGGTGGCTTCTCCGTGCTTTTCCTCTCTGTGCCGTTGTTTTTTTTCCCAAGTCATGTAGTCATAAGTTATTCGTCTGGAAAATCGGAGTGGAGAACCAGGAGGGTAAGAAAAGTAGAGTAGAGAGCCTAGGGCCTTAATTCTTATGCAACAGTTTGATGAAGTATGTTCAGCTGTTGACAAATGCCCAAAGTCCTGGTTGGAGTACTCTGCCGCCGCTGTCACGCAGTCCAGCCTGCTACACTGCGCACCTCGGCCACAAAGCACTATGTCTCGGATGGTTGTGTTGGGGCATGTCTACCCTCCGCTGCAAAATAAGAGTGTTGCCCAGCCTATGACAAGGAAATATCCCAATGGTCTCAAACACGATAGAAAATGAACGGCGGTGTTAGCCAGAAAAAAAAAAAACAAGAACATGCAAACCGAAGAGAGATGCCAAACATGAACCCAAAGGGACTCAAAGTCCATGTGAATGTTGCCCACGGTTCCCACGTGCAAAATACATTCAGGAGTTTCCAAAACTCAAGGTTTTTTGAGGTCTCAAAAGCCCCGTCGATTCGGTCTGAGTCTGCGGCCCATGATTCGGCCCACATCGCAACATCTCTCCCAAGCCGTGGATGGGTTGGATCCAAATCACGTGGTTAAGGGGTTCAGCCTGTGCACGTGGTAGATCCTTTTTTGATCTTTTCTGTAGCCCAAAGGCATGATCGTGTATCAAACAGCCATGTGTCCCATGAAAAGCAAGTCTAATGGTTGCAGCAAACTATATACAACATTGGGGTCCCCACTATAACCAAGTACATCGTACATCCTCCTTATAGTTTTTCGTGTAAACAACGGTTCCAATCGTTGCCATAAAGTGCAAGAGAATCCAACCATCACTTGAGACATTGGCATTCACCAATAAAAGCTGCAAGGCCCTCAAAGGTGGCGCTGGCATGGGTCGCGAAAAACTCACGGCACACCACTTTTTGCACTCAAGTCTTAAGTGTGACCCGAAAGAGAAAACACCTACACCGTCTGGTCAAAAAATAGTGAAGTGCAAGACTTCCAATCTGGACTATTGAGTACTGGGAGATCTGCAGACTGACCCTCATGGGGACACCTCTCTGCAAAATGCAGAACTCGTCCTGCCGGTGTCATTCTCAACCGGTGTATGCGCTCTTCCAGCTTTGAGTTGTACTTATCAGCGATTTCTTGCTCTTGTAAAATCAGCTACATGCTCCTTCATTTTCTTCAAATCTTGTTCGAACTCTTCTATGTGCAAGTCCTTTGAGAAGCACTCGTCCTCGGCCTCTCGAAGGTCTTCTTCATATCGAGCCATGAAGTGGTGGTCAACCCATTGCGGTGCCTGGGCTTGTTGATCCACCATTTCAACTTGCACATTCATGTAGATTTTCTTCACCCGAATCACGGCGTTCACATTGTTCTGGATGAAAGCCGCCATGCTTGAAGAGCTCACCGAAAAACATGGGTAGCAGATCTTGCGGTAAACTACACTTCCCTGGATCTTTAAGCTCACAACAGGCTCACTCGATGAGTCCGGTACACTCCAAAACTCGTTCTCACAGTCTCAACACTCTTGAAGCAAACAACAACTCAAGCTGACACAGTGCACTGCCTCACGCCTTTTTACTCACACTTGAGCCAAAAATAACAATCGTGTCAAAGACTGTACATATGTATAAATCACACAAACAACTCTTTACAAAAAACTTTTAAACACTCGAAAGCGCTAAGGACCTCTTTCAAGCCTTCAAGAAAACTAAAGTCCGGTTCTCTCCCTTTCTGAACACGAACCAAACAACACAAAACAACAAAACCAAACAAAACAACAAGCACGAGCGAGGTGGCCATCCAACGTATGGATTTCTTCACCCCCTCTTGGACATTTCGCTCGGATCAACTGGCTGATTTTAAGCCTTCTTATTCTTCTTCAGTGAGGACAGACATTTCGATCACATGTCTTTAGACATTGGTGCGACCATGCCTGAGCAAGACGGATTCAAATTAACCTTGCTCCCACTCACTGGGAAGTAGACCTTCTCACACTGCCACAACGACTTGGGCAATGGTATATCACTCACCATGACAGAAGGTTCCTTCTTCAAACGAATTTGAACATCAGCAGGCTCACAACGCCGACTCAGACAGCAGCAGGTCAGCAGGCTGCCACAAATGACTCCCGCTGCAAAGACCAGCCCGGCCGCAGCTTCCAAGCTAAGCGCAACAAGCATTACTCCCACATCCAAGGCTGACATCACACCTTAGGACGGTATGGGCGAAACATCAAGCTTCGTGCAAGCTAGATTTTGGCTCTACGAAACTGAGTCCTGTTCTACGAACTTCTACGAAAACGTGCCATTCTGAGCTCGAAAAATTGCATGACTCTTATGCGGTTAATTCGGCTTTAAATCCTGTAATGATTAGCTCGCAAAGTTTCTTGGGATAATGCTGTGTCTCCTTCCAATTGACATCTTTGGATGGCAAAAGATCATGGTGACCATCACATACACATACCTTGAGACTCTCAAGTAAACAGGTACTATCAGTATCTGTTCTCCAAGTCCTCTTGACCAATTGACTCTTCTGCATCAAATCAACTGAACACGCTTCAACAAAGGTGATATAGAGCTCTGATTGTGGCCCTACATTTCATTGTAGGGCCGCATCAGTGTGCACTCACATGTGGCCCGGAGGGCTATCCGCAAGTGGAAGTCACCCTGCGTCTGCGGCTCCCAGTTGCAGAATTTCTAGATTCTAGATGCGCTACTGCTCACGGCTACAGACTTACCAGAGCTCACCGAAAAGCCGCCATGGAAAGGACCTGACCCAGTGAGCAGGGATAGAGCACAAGCAGCACCCCCGCCCAGATGGGACCCAGTGGCTGAAAGCAAAGCGACCCCGGCTTCTAAAGCACACCAAGCAAGTGCCAAACAGCACTTGGGGAGCGACAGTGCCCCGAATCGTTTTACGAAGAGCTCACCTGATGTTGACCCATCGCATACCAGATTGTTGAAAGCGCTTTCTGACTTCCAGAGGGCCAACGAGCTGCGAACCCCCTGCGGTGCAAAGAATTAGGGACAGCATGCCGCCACACCGTATGGCGCAGCCAGCCAGGCTAGTACCCCTCCTCAGGTATTAAAGCCACCCCCCCCCTGCCCGACCCGGGGTGACGCAACAGAGGGATGATGGCAGCAGGGACGGCTCCAACACCCAGCAGCCTGACCCCGCAGGATCTGACTCAATTACATTTCGCCCGCACCGCGGCCGGGTGCTCACCCACAAAAGTGTCCTGTCCAATAGACGAGGGCGTGAGGAAGTGATGAGCTCCCTGGAAAACCTCCAAATTACACTGCAGCCTCTAGTTATCCTGCAGGTCGTGCAAGTCGTGCGTAGGCTGGCTCGCCAGGGCAAAGTGTTGTGCTCCCTTATTGTTTGTATGTTTGCACAGTGGCTCTTCCTCTCACACACGATCCCTGGGTGGATTGAAGGCTTCTCCTTCCCACCTGCCCTGCAAAAACTCACTGTCTCGATTGAGGGAAGAACTCTACAGTTGTTCCATCAGCAATGCATTGCTATTAGCGCTGGGGGAGCTACTGTTTATGGACAACCGACTCCATTTGCGCAGAATGATTGTACATGCAACCTACCATGAGGGACTTCTCTTTGAGAAGTAGCCTTGAACCTCCTACTCAACAGCTTTTGCTCAGAGTTTTGAGCCGAGACGCCTTGAGCTAAAGGCTACGGAATGTGGTCATCTGCATGTGGGTGCACTTGTGCGAATAAGTAGGCAATGTACGTGAGCCCACACAGCTGTGCATGCAGAGTATTCAAGGGAGCAAGAAGGGTGCCCTGAGCATCAGGCGGCAACTGATCGATTGATTGCTCATGTCCTCGACGACATGTTTTAGGGTTTGAACCCTCTCATAGAGGGCTGTTTCAATCTGACTGTGTTCGTGCGGTGCGGCGCTGCGGGACCTCCCGTTCAGAAGATTGGACAGCAATGCGAAGCGGTGAACGTGGCTACGGTCAGTGGTTGCCAGTGTCCCTGTTGGCGTGGCAGCACGTCCGGAAAAGGTCGGGTTTGCAAAAAAACATACAAGGGATCTCTGTCTGGGCTGTAGGGTAGCTCCGGCACGTGGTCCCCCATTTGGGTGAACAACGGCGCAGTAGCTAGGTTAGTTAGGACCTGGTTCTTGTCTGTCCGTTTGCACCTTTTTCATACTTGAGTTGTGTCCTCAGACACTGCTTGAGTTTTCTTTTGACCTGAGCCTGAGTTTCTTTCTGTTGTGTCCTCAGACATTGCATTGAGAAGTTCCTTTCGACCGGTGTATACGCAGAGTCTCCCTCAGGTTGTGTCCTCAGACACTGCTTGAGAAGTGAAGACTTCGATAGGTACTTCGTCTTAGGTCTTTTCAGTTTTGGCGCTAGTTTTGTTCCTTCCTGTTACGTCGTTAAATACAGAACGGCACACTGATCCGGCGGCACTGCCGCGCCGACCAGGCTTTTGGACCACCACTGACAGATCTCGACGCCTTCCAATTCGCATCGATGCCCAATCTACGGAGCGTGAACTTCCGCAGCGACACACCGGGCGCGCACACCACCAAATCGAGACGGCGCTGCACGACATTTTCTTTGCACGGGTCGAGGCGCTATGTGTGCAGAGGATGCACAAGTCACCTTAAGCTAGTAAAGAGAGAGTTACGAACCAAGAGGCCAAACACCACCGAACAGGAAACACACAAACAAACAAACAAAAAACACAAACCCACAAACCAAACCCCCAAAGCAAAGGCCAGGTTCGTAACTCGAGTCGGCTATGTCAGCCTGTCGAGAAAGGTGAGACATGGGGCTATGAATTCAGCCTTTGCACTCAGTACGTCACCATCACGTCATTTAGTCATTTTCCCATGAGACCGGAGTACCAGCATAGTTGCAGCAGTCAAAGTCCTTTGAGTCCTTCGCGCGAGGACTTCTGCCGGCAATGGGCCATGCTTCAGAGGGGCTACTCTGGTCCGGCACAGTAGTGCGCCGTGTTGCAAGGGCTGGAGGAGCGCGAGTGTTTGAGCGGCCGCTCATGCATAGGCACAAGTAGAGACAAAATTGTCGGGCTGGGCAGCTAGGCACATGAGGCTCAAGGAAAACCACTGTGTCAGTTGACGAGGACTTCAAATCAACGACAGCATGAGACAGCGGAGCCAAAACATGCAGTGCTGTGATGAGTTGTGAGCATGCACGATTCCGACAAGGCCGGGAGACGACAGTTGTGCTCTTCCAAATGGCTCTCTGAAGCCTCCAAGCTGTCCAAATGCCTCCCTAGTCCAAATGGCTCCTGGAGCCTCTCGGGCTGCACAACTGGCTCCCTGGTGGCTCTCTGGAGCCTCCCGACCTGTCCAACTGGCTCTCTGGAGCCTGCCACGCATGGCTCTCTAAAGCTTTTGAAGCTTTCCAGATGGCCGGGCTTTACATTTGAATCTCTGAGCCTCCGGGCCTCCCCAACTGGAGACCCTCGTTGAACAGAATCCTTGCGAAACGGGTTCCCGTAGACCATTTTGCCATTTCGATGGCAGCCGGCCCGTTTCGTGGCAAATCCAGGGGTGGACCCCACGGTCAACTCAAACTTCTCCGGGTC